CCCCCCCCCCCCCGCATTTCTGCAGCTCCCCAGCACCCTGAGCACATCTGCAGCTCTCCCAGCACCCCCACTCACCTGCTCTGCTCACCCCAGCACCCTACCCGCCCCCAGGCATACCTGCTGCTCACCCCAGCACCTCACTCACCCCGGGGAACACCTGCTGCTCACCCCAGCACCCCTCTCACCCCCCGGGCACAGCTGCATCTCACCCCAGCACCCACACACACGCTGTACACCTGTGGTTCACCCTAGCACCCCTATGGTACCCTGCAGCTCACTTCTGGCACAACTGTGCACATCTGTGACACACAGTGGGAGCCAAGGGCAGCAAGAAGTGGATGTGGTTCCCACTGTGTGGTGGCAGCATCTGAAGCTCAGGAGCCTGGGGTCCCTGGGCAAAAGGGCATGTGAGCTGGCTGGACCAGGGCGTCAGCCTAGGTGAGAAGCTCTCAGCCAGTGCAGGCTTGTGTGTCCATCTCTCCTTTTTCCCCAATATCCCTGCATAGAACAAATTGTGGGTATGTTGCTGAGTTGCAGCACACCAGGCTTGTAGGCTGGGGCCACCTAGCCACCACTGGATCTGGGACTAGCTTTGATTCCTATAACCTGACTAACTTCTGTGGTAAAAAGGAAATCCCTATAAAAAGGAAACACCTTTCAATTTAACATCAGGGAACTAGATACACTTGATGCCTGAAATGTTTCAGATTTCAGATAGTTTCTTTGATTTTATTTGGTTTTGTTTGTTTGTTTGTTTGTTGCAGTGCTGGGGATTGAACTCAGGGCCTTGACATGACAGGCAAGTGCTCTATCACTGAGCCACAGCCCTGACACTGAACTTTTCAGAAAAGGGTCAGGAGGGAGGAGAACCTCAATTAGTGTGAAACCAACCAAAATAATAACAGGTATCTAGGTAGCCTAGTGTAGCTGGGGCTTGGAAAAGAACATATCGGGTTTTAAGAGCCTTACAGAAATGTAATACAACTCTGTCATTCTGTTTTGGCTTCCTGCTCCCACACATGTGTCTGCTAGGAGCCCTGCCCAGAGTCTGTCACTAATGCCCTGTGGTTGACCAATGTATGACTCTTGCCCTCTTTAAAGTCCTCTGGCACAAAGGGTCCCAATCTGCCCAAGAAATTAGATCGCCCACAAATCTCACCAAAGCTGAGACTTGCCCTCCCTGGACTACAGAGGAAATGACACCAAGTGCTCCCTAGCAGTACAGTGTCTTTACAGAATAGTTGATCCAAATTCTGAATTTTCATACGTGTGCACACACGTATAGAGGCATCTATGCTTGTACCATGGAAGCACTGGTGTGAGCCTCTTAAGCCCGGCAGTCTGGCTGGGTCATGTTCCATGCAGCGGCAAGGCAGAGGGATCTTTGAACTCAGTACCTCAGAGTCCAGGACTAAGTAGGCCTCCTTACCCCTCTTGTGTCATCCCAAGACAGAAGCCAAGAGCACAGAGGGAGTGGGGCTGGCCCAAGGGACTCTGCAACTGGAGGGCTGGTTTAGGAAATTCTTTCTCCTTCCTGGGGATAGATTTTGGGAAGTGAAAATATTGCAGAGGAAGGTGAATTTCAAAGATGAAAAACAATGTCTCATAACACAAAAGGCATCCATCTGATGGCACGCCTCGGGCAAACTAGACAGAAGCTACCATTTGGTTTTGTTGGGAGGTGTTTGCTTCCCTGAAGTGTGAGGGCAAGGACCTAGCTGCAGGCCCACTACGATGGTCACTGGTCACTTCCTTCTATGAATATGAGATCAAAAGAGGATATGAGGGACCCCGTGTTGCCGAGCAAGGTCCGGGAAAGCATTCCGAAAGGACTCACTGACCACCCTCTCTCTTCCAGGCAGAGGCTTCTCCCCGGGGGTATCCTGCTGCTGCTGCATCCTGCTTCCCCAGGCCAGTGCTGGCTCCTGAAGGGACCCCACATGGCTGGATTGCTGACCTCTTGCGGCCAGCTCTCTGCCCATTTGCTCTTCCCACGTCCTACCCCACCTCTCCTTAACTCCTGATGAGCTCTCAGGAGGGAGGTTCAGAGAGCTGACCTAACTTCCTCTAATGGGGCACGTGGGCTCTGCACCCATCACCAGCTCAGCTGGTAGCTCCTCGCCTCCCACTGGGCCAGGTGGCATTCCTGTGGCACAGAGTGAAACCCCTCCTCCAATGACCCCAGACTCAGTCAGCGTAAACAAATATCAAGTGTTCAGAGATCAGGAAATTGCTAGTGGATATTTAGCTGCCCCAAAGTGAGGAATAGGTTTTCTCCAAGTAGAATGAAAATTAACTAGGGTCATGGTGGTGTCACCAGGGACCACTAGTGTGCGGAAGCTCCTGCCACTCTCCCTGCAGCCACAAAGCACTGGTGCTCACACCATGAGCTCTGCGGGGATGGGAGGGGGCCCTCATGCCCACTGGGGGCCCATAGCACAACGGAAGCCCCTACAGGCAGGGAGCCAGCAGCTGTGTCTCCATGGCCACCTGTGGAGGCCCATCTGCAAGAGCCTAAACTGGACCCCCTAGTGTGCACTGGGACAGATGACAGAGCCAGCCCCTCTGACTTGGGCAGCAGGAAGGGTGTGCCCCAGTCTGCCGGCTTGCAGATCCTTGACCACACACCAGCTGTCCTCAGTCCCCCTCCAAGCACTCTCTCACCTCAGCGGGCTGTACTACACCCTGTACTTCCTAGCCACGCTCCTGATGATCATCTATAAAAGTAAGTCGGGAGTGTGAGGCAGGCCCAGGAGCTCACTGCTGCTCAAGCTGACCCGAGGCTGCTGGTCCTAGGTCAGGTGTTCAGCTATCCTTGGCACCGCCTGGTCTGCGACCTGACTCTACTCCTGCTGATGGGAGTCCTGGAAGCAGTTCGGCTATGCCTGGGTGAGTGTTGGGGTGGATGCATTCCAGCTGTGACAAGTGCTGTCTCAAGCACTGAACCTGTGGATGTGACCCCTTGGTGCAGTTCTTGGTGAGGTCTTCAGTCAGACTAGTGTGCAGAGGCTGTTGCCTAGGTGTGATGCAATATCACCTTACGCTATCACTAACTGCTGGTTTAGAAGCTCCATCCCGAGGACAGGTGATACTTGTGTGGGCTCCCATCTAGAAGCACATGAGATCACAACAGCCTACCTGTCCGAGCCAGGGCTCCTGAATACCCCTGCACCCTCTGTCCTTCCCTTGGTTGTCTGGGGAGCTCAGCAGGTCCCCAGAAAACCCAGCCTTTCCAGTCGGGCTTGGGTCCAGGTGCTACTTCCTCCAATGGCCTCTGGGCCACTCCCTCTTCAACTGCACAGTTCACACAAGGGTATGCTCTTGAACAGAACTCGAGGGGTGCAGAGATATAGCACAAAACCTCCTCCCCCACCCCATAGCTGACCACCAAGACCAGCAAGGTCCAGGCTTCCAGCCCCACTGTGCCCTTCCTGTGGGCTTGGTCATAGACACACACAATGAGGGTGTCTGTCTGGGGATGGACTGTACCCTTCACACTGCCCTGCTGTGGGCACAGGAATGGGCATGTCTAGGCATGTTGCACTGCCAGGTGCCAACCTCAGGCCCTCATGCATACCCCAGCCCATGGTGACCAGGACATGATAGGAAGCCAAGGTGAGGGGAGGCTGGCCCCTGACCTTCTTCTTGCGTCAGATCTGGGACCCCGTGGGGCAGGGGCCAAAGTGAGTCTCCTCACCTTCAGGATGGACACTGGCAGGGGCAGCATGTCATGCAGCTGCCAGCACAGACAGCGCAGATGCTAGTGTAGCTCTCAGGAGGGTTTGGACACCATGTGTGTGTGTACCTAGGGTCTGGCCTGCAGGGGGCTGCCTGGCCCTAAGGGCCCTTGGGGCACCTGAGCTGCTGGGGTCAGCTGGTGGCAACTTTGGATGGCATTTTCCATGACTGGCCCATTGGTTTGTAAATGTGCAGTTCTGTTTTTGTAAGTGTTCATGACATTTTCCAGAACTGGCTTTAGTAAAATATTTTTGGAAGTTTTAAATGCAAAAGGGTGGCAGATGCCCATAGTTTCAGATACCAAAGTCTGCCCCACACCCACCGCTGGCCAGAGGGTCAGGCAGGCACCAGCTCTGGGGGTGGCCACAGTGAGCTCTTTCCCCGATCCCGTGGCTCGTGCTGTCCTCGGCAGGACCAGGACTGGGTGGTGGGTCCTGCCCCAGGCCGATGCCCTACCACACCTCACTCTCATCTGCTTGCTCTTCAGGCACACAGGGCAACTTGACAGAGGCTGAGGGGCCCCTGGCTGCCAGCCTGGCCCTCACAGTGGGCAGCGGCCTTCTCTCCATCCACTTTCTGCTCTGGCAGACCCTGGTGCTCTGGGCAGACGCCATCCTCAGTGCTGGACTCCTGGTGCTCCACGGCCTGGAGGCCGCCCTTCAGGTGGTGGCCATTGCGGCCTTCGTCAGGTAGACGTCTGGCTCAGCCAGGCGGCAGCCACCTCCTCCGTACCCTGCCAGGTCCCAGCAGTCTCCCGCGCTGCTGAGCGAGCAGGTGTGTCTGTCCTACTGACTTGCCATAGGCGGCTCTGGGTAGCTCACAGCCATGGGGTGTGATGCACAGGGACATCCACTCAGGCCCTGTAAGTGGGGCCACCAGAGGAGGGAGAAGCCCTGCAGAAGAGAGACTGCCAGAGGGGGGCCCTGCAGTGCACCCCGGAGAAGCAGCCTCCACCTCCGAGCTCCGGCCAGCTGCAGCCCGCCCCTGTGCTTTCTCACACAGTGGTCCTTGACATGGCACGCTGCCTGCTTCTCTCCGCCACCAGCTCCTCCAGAGCTGCAGGCAGGTGGCCCTGTGTGTGAGTGCCTGTCTGCCTCCCCGCCCCCCCCCCCCCGGGGCCTGGGCAGAATGGTGGGCTGGGGTTTCCACAGAGAGCAGAGCAAGTGGGCCCATCAGCTTCAGATTCTCACCCCAACACTCTCCCTTCCCTGTGGGCACCTCTGAGGTCCAGGGGAGCGAGGCTGTGGGGACAGTGGCCAGTTCAGAGAGCAGCTCCAGTTGTAGGGTCTCTGAGTGAGCTAGGGGACTTCAGCAACATTGCACTCAGATAAAATGAATGAATTCCACCCTACCTTTGACTTTTCCATCTGCAGTTTTACCATACGTGCTCCCTAAAAAGTATCTTAGCTAGGCTGGGGTGCAGCTCAGTGATGGAGCACTTGCCTAGTCTGTGCAAGACCCTGGGTTCCATCCCAGCACCTTAAAAAAAGGTACACACACACACACACACACTTAGAAAAAAAGGGTTGCCAGTGCTGTGGGGCACACCTGTCATCCCAGTGACTCAGGCTGAGTTAGGAGGACTGCAAGTTCAAGGCCAGCCTCATCAACCTAGCAAGACCATGTCTCCAGAAATAGAAAGGCTGGGGATGTAGCTCAGTGGTAGAGTGCTCTGGGTGAAATCTCAGTATCACGCAACAATAACGTAGGGTCTGAGCCGATTTTCCTAGTAGCTTGCCTTCATCTGTTGTTTTCTGCATTTGGAATAATGTTATGTCCCAGTGTCTGGCTTTCTCTTCACTATTTATTTAAAGTAAATAAATGTTCACATTTCCAGGAATTTGTCCTAATTGTAGCCACTTAACCCTCCCCACGTTTTGCTATAAAAAGCCCCCCCCCCCCTTCCCCCACTTGCTCCTTCATGACCTCATCCCAAGACTCACCTCCAGCCACGCTGCCCTCCATCCTGACGCCTGGTCGGAACACTGCTCCTCTGTACACTGCTGAGGGTGGCAGGCTGCCAGTGTCCTGGGCCTCCTCCAGAGCCAGTGTCACTGTCATGTCCTCACCCAGGGCCCTCAGCTGGCTTCGTCTGACCCCAGAGTGAACGTCAGGCAGCCTGGACACCTGCTTTCCCACTCAGCGTGCCCATGCAGCAGATCCACACGCAGGCGTGGAAAGGGCCAGTGCTCCCAAGCATCTCTGTGGCTGGGGCACCATCCATTAGGATGCCCAGAAGGGCTGCCCGTTCATTCTGCAGACTGGGTAGAAAGCTTTCACAGTTAACAGATCTGAGTCTGGAGCCCTTGACACCCCCCTCTCACTGGCACACAAAGGGGAAGGTCACCTGTTCCACACCATCTGCAAACACTACAGGTCCAGGCGGCCCAGAGTGGCTTTGGGACCTGCCCCAGCTGTCCCTGCAGTGCCCACTTCCTGCTTTTGCCCGTTCCTCACCCTGCCGAGGAAGGGCGAGGGCATGGGTGTATGCCTGCCCCTGCCAGGGCAGAGCAGAGTGCTTGACCCTGCACACTGGTTCAGGATGGAGTCACATGTGGAGCAGGACTAGGCCAGGTTCTTGAGTTCAGCTGCAAAGGCTGTGGACCAGGAAGCAGGTCTTGTCTGGACTCAGGCAGGTGCTGGGACTGGAGGACAAAGGCCATTCCTGCCACCCTTCGGCTGAGCTCACCTGTGGGTTCAGTGCAGACCACAGAGATGCCAGTGGCTCTGGCCCTCCAGGGTAGAGTGCCCACCTCCCCATGGCTGCTCCATGCCAGCCCAGGGCAAACACCAGCAGTCCTGACTTCCTGACAGTACTCATTCCCTCTGCCCCCACCCTGGGAACAGAGCTGGAACCCTGGGGACCCTGCATGTGCCCAGGTGGTCTCTATCCCCTTCACCTCCTCCACTGCCAGCCAACCTTGGCTTCTCGCTCTCTGCGCACCCCACCCTGTCCTGTGCATAGCAACAGGCTGGCTCAGGGCCTTCTGGGAGACCGCCTGATGAGACAGAGCCAGAAGCTCACAGGACAGTCTGGGCCACAGGTGTCCCCACCCACCAGACACTCCCACCCTTTGGAGGTGCCCGGGATGAGGTGGGGTGCAGAGAAAGGGGACTTAGGAACTCCTGGACTGGGAGCTAGGGCTGTGGGTCCTAGCTAGTTCCTACCTCTGACCTCCACTCAGACTGATGCCTCTGCCCCAGCATCCCACACCAGATGGGCCAGCTGAAGAGGAAGGGCTCTGAAGCTAAGGGCCCGGAACGTCCGGCGGGGAGGGCTGGGGCGGCCGCGCAGCGCCCCAGGTGAGCTGGGCCGCCAGGAACACCGCTGCGCGCAGCCGGGCCTGGCGGGCGGGGGCGGGGCTCCCGGGCCCGCCCCTGCCTCCCCCGCGCGCCCGCTCCCCGGTGACTCGGTAACCTGTCGCTCAGGTTCGTCCTCTCGCCGCCCCGCCCCGCCCCGCCCCGCCCCGCGAAGCGACCCGCCCGCCAGCGGAGACCTAGTGCGGTGGCCAAGGCGCGGACAGACTGGCGGACACACGGGCCGGGGGACTGGCCACAGCGAGGACGCAGTTGCCGCGAGCAGGTGAGGGCGAGGAAGGAGCTCATCCGTCTGGGCCTCAGTTTCCTCAGTGGCGATGGGACGCGGGGCTCTGGCGGGGCCGGGTGCGGGAGGCAGCTGGGCGCCTGAAGCGCGGGGGATAGCTGGACCAGGGTGGCCGGGCGCGGTGGCGCAGGAGGTTTCGGGGGCTCTGGGCCCAAGAACCGGTCCACTGCGGTCCGGTCTGCCAGTGTCCGGGGCGCGGCCCGCGTGCAGGGATATTTTTAAGCCAGTGGCAGGTGACTCACCCATGCAGGTCCCATGCCCTCCCAGCCCTGGGGCTAGGTGGAGGGATCCCTGCATCCGGAGAAGGGGCTTGTCCTCCATGGGAGGACCCTGAAGGTGGGCACACAGCCCAGGCCTGGAACTCTCTGGAGGCTTGGGCCAGGATGGCATCAGGTTGGGTCGGGCTGCTGGTCAGAGGTGAGGTGTGCAGTCCGAGACGGGAGGAAGGCTGGGGGCCTGGGGGCGTGGCTGCAGGAGCCCTGCCGGGCCCATCCTGGAGGGTGGGCTACCAGGACCTGTGGGAATCCAGTCTGGCCATTCCAGGTTCCTGGTCCCTGGGCAGAGCTGCTCTAGAACTGCCCCTTTGTGCGAGGGTGCCCCCCCCCCCCCGCAGGGGCGGAAGTAGGCACACCCCACAGACCACCTCTGCCCCTATTCCAGTGCACAATCCTTGCTGTGCAAGGAGGGGCCCCTGGTGGGGATAGCCCACCTGCACTGCCATCCTATGCCCAGGCCTCTGCTGGACTTGCCCAGTACCCAGGCCCTGTGGGCCCAGTGCTTCCATCCAGCCAGGCCTCTGCACCCTGTGCCTGCCCGGTCTCCTCAAGTGTATCCACCCTCCCCCCCTAGAAGTTTCCAAGTTGTCTCTTCCTCCCTCCGACCTGGACAGGGCTCTTTCCTCAGGTCACAGAAGGGCCTGAGGGACTGCCCTGTTCCAGGGCCCCACCCGACTCCCATGAGGGCAGCTAGGAGCCCTGATGACTAAGCTGACCCCTCCCCAAGGTCACTCAGCATGTGGAGCTGGAATTTGAACTTGGAGCCAGTTCCTCCACCCTCTCTGCCCTACTGGGGCCTCCTCCCTCCACTGTCCACTCGCCAGGCCCCAGACATACTGGGTCCTCCCTTCATACCCGGAAAATGGCCTCCATAAAACTAAAGTACAGCCTGAAGCCCAGGGGCCAGGGCCAGGGCCAGGGCTGGGCACCCATCTCCACCTATTCTGAGTTACATGGCTTCCCCACCCCCAGCTGAAGCCCACTGGGAGCAGGCTTCACACAGGCCTCTAAGTGGCCCCAGCTCCCCCACTGCTGAAGTCCCAGCCTAGATTTCCCTGAGGGGAGGGCTGTGCAGCCCAGCCTGTGTGTCTGCGTGCCTGCAGGCCTGGGTCTGGAGGGTTGTTTTTGCCCAGGTGTGTGTACCTGGACCCACGTGCCCAGTGCCCTTGGTTCAGCCTGCCAGGAATCCCATTAAGCAAACACTCGGACTCACCCACTGAGGTCATGAGCATTCCAAACATTCTCCACGGATAGGTGGACAGGGCAATCTGGCCAAGCCCCCTGTGGCATGTGGGCGGGGCAGAGCAGGAGCCAGGATGAGGCGGTAACCAAAGCCCCCAGGCTCCCACATCTCCTGGGAGTGCTCCCCAGCAGGACCTCGTCAAACCAGAAAGTCCTGGGGTGCCCCAGCCTGCCCCTCAGCTCTCCATACCAGCACCCAGGCTGGTGGCCCCACCCTAGTAGACCCAAACACTGAAGTCAGGAGGGATGGCCTTCCTGGTGACATCTGTCAGAAGGCAGACAAGAGTGTGGACCCAGGACCCCTTAGGGAGCCACCACAGAGGTGCTGTCCGCCTGTTCTACCTGGGACACGGGGGCAGTTCTGCACTGGTGGTCCCCCCAGGGCATTCTCCCCACATAAGCCGCCAGGGTTTGCTTACCTCCCAGGAAGGTTCCAGGGTCCAACCCAGATCAGACCCTGTTCACGTTAGCAACCTGTCCTCGTTTCCCCAGAGTGCAGCTGGACAGTGGTCAGGCCTGGGAATCTGCTACAGGGAGGCTGGGATACCACCCATCCCTCTGAAACCCCACCCTGTGCCCACCTTCCCCAGGTCCTTTCTTGGGCCGGCTCCTGCTGCCAAGGGTCCTACCCTGGTTTCCCCATTTTGCCTTCTCATCAGGGTGAGACCACCCCTTAAGTACCAGGGACCCCAGGATTCCCTACCACAGGGCTTCCCTGCTTGCTCTACAAGGGCCCAAAGAGAGCCAAGGGTGGACAGGTGTGGGCTATGTGTTCACAACAGGGTGCAGAGGCCCCTGTGGGGTAGGTGCCTGGGGTGGGGCAGGACTGGAAGGCGGGAGCCAGAGCTCCCTCTGCACTGTGTGCCCCTCCCCAGGCTCCAGCCTCATGCCCCTGCCCTCCACTCCTGCTGGCTGCTACCTGCCCCAGGGCCTTTGAACCTACTTGAACTCTGCTGAGAAGATGCTTTCCCCCCATAACCCTCTTCAGAGCCTCCTAGGCAGCCTCCTGGGGGGGGGGCAACCCTATGCAGTCTGAAGGTCTGAGGCAAGATGGGGCTCAGTGGCCACTAGCTGGGTTGCAGGGTAGGGAGCTCTACTTCCTGAGGACTCCCTGTGGAATCTGGTCAAGTCACTGAATTCCTGCCCTGGACCCCGGGTAGGGAGAGGAGGCCCTGTCCTGGGAATAACAAGGCCACTGGCCAGGACCAGAGAAGGTGTCAGCTCAGTTCCTCTGTCCTCTCAGGTGTGGGCCAGGCATTGGGCCCCAGACTCGGCCGCACTGAGTTCTGCCCTCCCAGCTGCTGGCCGCCACCAAGGACGCCATGAGCCAGTCAGGAGCCATGAGCTGCTGTCCTGGTGCTGCCAAGTGAGCCCCATGCCCACCCTCACTGCCCACAAGCAGCCCCCGGGGAGGGCCCCCGGGGAGGGCGTGGTGGCCCCCCTCACCTGCCCCCCCCCACAGTGGCAGCCTGGGCCGGTCCGATGGTGCTGCTAAGATGAGCGCGAAGGATCTGTTTGGTGAGTGAAGCTGGAGACAGGGCCAGGCTGGGGAAGTAGGGGACTGCCTGGCCTGGCCCAGAGGACCTCAGGCTTGGTCAGCCCTGGGTACCTGGAGGAGGCCTCTGGACCCTAATCCACTGACAGCTTGTGAGGTCTGTCCCCAAAGTTCCTGGCACAGAACACCCCTCCCCCAGCAGTAAGGGGAGAGCCCTTTACGAATAATTCAGAGAGCATCAGTATTGATTCCCCTGGGCGTCTCTGCAACTCGATCGGGGCAGGCGGCCGGTGGCCAGGTGTCTCTCCAGGAGGGAGCCAGGCTGCCCTCCCAGCTTGCCACAGCCCTCACTTGTGCCTTTGGATGCTGCACCCACCGTCTGGAAAGCAAGAAGCCCCTAGAAAGGAGGAAGATTCTGGTGGTGGCTCTGAGGGTGGGCAAGCCCTGGCCTAGACCTCTCCCCTGGGAAGGTGGGCACAGGGGTTGGCCAGCCTCCGGTGAGGCTGAACCTCCAGTGCCCCCAGGACAAGTCCCATAGCCTCTGGCTGCCCTCCCCACTCTGAGCAGGCCCCTTCCCGCTCAGAGCCATGGGTGTCTCCCCTGGGGTGAGCCTGGGCTGGATGGAGCAGAGGGCTTCCTGAGAGTCCTCATGGTCTGAGGAGGGTCCTCATGGATCTCACACCTGTGATCCTTGGTGTTCATGAGGGGCCCAAGAGAAGCACCCCTTACCTTGACTCCACCCTCCCTTGCGGCCCCCTGGGGTCCAGTCCCACCTGGACTGGGGGCTGGCGGTCCTGAGATCTGGGCTGAGTGACCACCATCTCCCCGTCCAGAGCAGAGGAAGAAGTACTCCAACTCCAATGTCATCATGCACGAGACCTCCCAGTACCATGTCCAGGTGAGACCCCTGTGCGTCGGGGTGCATAAGCAGGTGGAGAAACTGAGGCCCGAGGACAAGTGGGGAGACCAGAGCCAGGGACTGCCCCCCACGGGTCCTGGGCTGAGCCACAGTGGGGTCAAGCCCTTCAGTCTGGGGAGCCTTCCCTGGGGACTTGGTGCTGAGGTTGGCACCACCCCGGGTGTGCTGGGGAGGCCCCCTGGGGCTGTGCACAGGAGCCTCTGGGAAGGAAGTTGTCATCCTGCCCCAAAACAAGGAACTGGATTAGCGGGAGAAGCTGAAACAAAGACACTCTTTATTGAGCACTGCGGGAGCTTCAGGTGGCCGTGCTGCGTCGGAGCTACCCTGCGTACCCTGCCACCCTGCGCCCTTTGGACCGGCCGCCAGCCTGGGAGGGCTTTGTCCTACACCTAGAACTTAGGAAACACACTTTACAGATGGGCCTTCCATGCCTGCCAGCTGGCCGGGCTCCTGGCCGAGATCCAGGCTTGGGGGACTATGGGGAGGAATGAGGGGGAGGCAGGTAAGGGGCGAGCAGAGCCAGCTGTGGCTGCAGGCCCACTGTGCTGGCTCTCTTGGGCCTTCCCACCCACCGTGGGCCTCACTGGGCCCAGGGCTGAGGAAGTTACTGTCTAGACCTGTTCCTCAGACTGAATCCAAAGAACCTGAGGCTCTGGGGTCCAGTGTGTTGGGATGACCAGTGTTCTCCCCCCACCGGCCTGGGCAGGCTGGGCCATTGTGCAGTAACCATTGTGACGCAGTTTCCCAAGGCAGAGCTGTCAGTGTGGGCGGTCAGCCAGCCCCCTCCTCCACAGCAGCTCCGCCGCCTTTCTCAGGGGTGGGACTTTGCTCTCCTCAGTGAGGACCCAGCCTGGCCCCTGGACTTTGGTCCCAGCTGGCCTGGCTCATCCCAGCTGTTGCAGGGGCCAGAGAGGGTGTGGGAGGAGATGAGGTTTTCCCACCCCTCCCAGAGAAAGCATCAGAGACCTGCCTTAGCAAGGTGGAGCGGAGGCAGGGTGCCAAAGCCTGTGTTTTTGCTGCTGACTTTCCGTACAGTAAATGTGGTGGGGCATGCAGTCCTGTTACCACATAGGTGGCACCCAGCATGGCTCTGTCACCCCAAGCTCCTGCCAGACCCTTTGAGGGCGCAGCCCCACCTCCCTGTCTCTGTCGACAGGACCCTGTAGTTTACAGCCTCCTCAGCTTCCTGAACTGACTTAAGAAGGCGTGGCAGAGGATGACTCTGTGCCCGCCCCGGCTGGGCTGCCAGGGCATCTTTGCCAGCCACCTGGCCCCAGGCCTCTCCCCTGATGCTGCTTCTGCCCACATACATGTGGAGGTGCTTCTGATCCATGTGGACATCTTCATATGTACAGTCAGGTGTGAGGGTCAGCACCACCTTCTCCCTGTCTGTGGCTTGTTCACTCATAAGCTTCACTGTCTTTCGAGGGACACAAAGGTGACATTTTGGTGACGTCTAATCAGACCACCTTTGTTTCCTTCTGTGGGGGGGCTTCTTGCCTCCTGAGGAACTGTGCCTTTGTTGCCTTTGGATGTCTGTAGTGTGGCCTTTGCATCTGGGTCCACCGTCCCCTCCAGGTGTTTTTGGGGCATGGTGTGGAGTGGGGATCAAGGCTGGTTTTCTCTTGTGTGCATGTCCAGCCATAGTGAAAAGGCTTTCCTCCCCCGGGATTGCTCTGCTGCTTCTGTGAACACTGATGAGCCAGATATGGACAGGTCTGTTTCTGGAATCGTCATTTCACTGCTCTGTAATGCTGTGTACAAGCTTCAACTTATTGTGGCTTTATCAGTCGTGAACTCAGGCCATGTGAGTCCCACAGCTTTGTTCTTTATCTTCGTAATATCCTGTGTCTCTCCCCCCACTCTTGTGTTTTAGAAATGGAGTTTTGCTATGTTGCCCAGCTGGTCCCAAACTTCTAGGCTTAAACAACCCTCCTGTCTCAGCCTTCTGAGTAACTTGGATTACTGATGTGTACCACCAAGCCCAACTGAGATTGGCTTGAGTTCCTTATACTTGCATATGGATTTTAGAATCAACTTGTGTATTTCTCCTCCTAAAAGATGCTGTTAGAATTTTGATTGGCATCAAGTCAAATCTCTGAATCACTTTAGAAAGAGTTGACACTTGAACAATATTGTGTCTTTCCATCCATGAACATGGGATACCTTTCCATCAATACATATTCTTTAATTTCTCATCAGTGTTTTTGTGGTCTTCATTATAGGAAGCTTGCATATCCTTTGTTAAATTATTGCTTAGGCATTTGATTTTTATATGTTATTACAAATGGTGCTGGTGCAGTGGTGCATGCCTGTAGTCTCAGTGGCTCCGGAGGCTGAGGCAGGAGGATTGCGAGTTCAAAGCCAGCCTCCGCAACTTAGCAAAGCATTTAGCAACTCAGCAAGACCCTGTCTCTAAATAAAAAAAAAAAAAAAAAGAGAGAGAGCTGGGGATGTGGCTCAGTGGTAGAGCACCCCTGGATTCAATGCCAGTAATGAAAAACAAATAGCATTCTTTTTAACAGTTGTCTGCTGTTAGCCTATAGAAAAACAATTGAACTTTGGTATGATGATCAAGTGTCCTGAGACTGGTGAATTAAGTAATTTGCAAATTACTTGTGATTGACTTGTAAAATGCTTGGATTTTCTATATACACATCAGATTGCTGGAAAATAAAGACCACTCTTCATTTCCTGTCTTCAGATCATTCATTTATTTTCTTGCCCCATCTCCCTGTTTAAAGTACAATGCTAGATGAAGATAAGAGCATGGTGTGTCTGCAGAGGTCCAGTCTTGGAGAGAGCGTCCAGTGTCCTACTGATGCCTGTTTTTGTGGATACCTATTATCAATGTGACAAGTTCGAATTTCTTTTGCTGAGTTTTTGATCATGATGGGTGTTGGATTTTGTTAGATACTTTCCCCAAATCTATTGAGGTTTATTTGCCACTGCTGGTGTAGTGAACTACATTGGCTGAGGTTTTTTTTTTTTTTTTTCTTTTTTTTTAATCAGGGACTGAACTCAGGGGCATGCGACCACTGAGCCACATCCCCAGCCCTATTTTGTATTTAATTTAGAGATAGGGTCTCACTGAGTTGTTTAGGGCCTTGCCATTGCTGAGGCTGGCTTTTAACTTGCAATCCTCCTGCCTCAGCCTCCCTAGCCGCTGGGATTACAGGTATGCACCCCTGTGCCTGGCTTGACTGATTTTTTTTTTTTTTTTTTCTTGGTGGTGTTAGGATTGAGTCCGGGGCCCCTTCATGCTAGGCAAGTGCTCTACCACTGAGCTGCACCCCCAGCCCTTTTTATTTTTATTTGGGGGACAGGGTCTTGCTCAGTTTCCCAGACTGACCTCTAATTTGTGATCCTCCTGCCTCAGCCTCCTGAGTAACTGGGATTACAGGTATAAGCCATTGCACCTGGCTCCCTGGTTGACTTTTATGTGTGTTGAACCAACCTTGCATTTCTGGGATAACTTCATTTTCTTCAAGGTATACTAGCTTTCCCCCCTCCCGCCAATACCCAGGGAACCTCTACCACTGAGCTGCGTCCTCAGCTGTTTTTTTTTTTTTTTTATGTTGAGACAGGGCCTGGCTCAGATGCCCAGGCTGTCCTTGAACTTGCCATCTTTCTGCCTCAGCCTCCTGAGTCGTGGGAATGACAGGCGTGTGTCACTGCGCCTGGCTATACTATCCTTTTTATGTGCTGATGGGCTAATTTGCTAATATTTTGTTGAGGGGTTTTTGTGTCAATGTCTCCCAGAGATATTGGTCTGCAACTTTCTCACATAGTACTGTTGGCAGGTTTGGGGGTCAGGGTTATGCTGACCTCACAGGGCAGGAGGGAAGAGTTCTCACCTCGGTTTTCAGAAAGTTTGTGAAGCTTCTTGTTGTTTCTTCCTTCAATACTTGTGATTTGCCAGTGAGGCTGAGTGCTGGGCCGCCTTTGTGGGATGGCCAGACGGTGGGTGCCTGTGTGTAGTGTAGACATGTACCCTCTGTCCTCTTGGTTTTGAAGGGATTGTCTCTAGCGTTTTTCTTGATCACTCTTGCTGGGGATTTATCAATTTTAGCATTTCTTTCAAAACTAACTTTGTTGGATTTTTCCCTATTGATTGTTTTTTTGGGGGGTGGGTATCAGGGATTGAACTCAGGGGCACTCGACTACTAAGCCACATCCCCAGCCCTATTTTGTATTTTATTTAGAGACAGGGTCTCACTGAGTTGCTGAGCACCTCACTTTTGCTGAGGCTGGCTTTGAACTTGTGATCCTCCTGCCTCAGCCTCTGGAGCCACTGGA